TCGAGCGTTATTCTTTATTCTTTCTTTTATAATTTAGTAGGATACTGATGGTGAGATCAGCGCATTTCTTCAGAGTATTTGCCGTCTCCCGCCGATAATGCGGTATACTGGATCATATGTCCCGATGACGTACCGTCGGAAGGTCAGGAAGAAGAGTGTTCGAACGTGTGGTCATGGTTCGAGCAAGCCGAGATCACGAAAAGACGACCAAGGACGTGCTGAACGTGCAGAGAAGGTTTGACCATTCTATCTTGGCGGCTCGTTTAAGCACTTTGATTTTACTGCGGCGGGGCTATCGACAGGTGGAGTGGTCAGACAGAGTTTGAGAAAGATTGCCGGCGATGGAGACTGAAGGATTTGAGGGCAAGGATAGAACGGAACGGGTCACTCGTAACCTCAGTTTCAGAATGGAGTTCGGCTGTGCTTTCCTCAGCTGTCAGAATCCCTGATTTCGAAAAAAGCCAGCGTGGCGAAGGTTGTAAAGCTTGACTCGGTGGGCGGCTGCACGCGGCTGTTTCTTGCGGGAACCATAGCTTTCAGCTAAACGTCTTGGTTTACTGAAGGGCCACTGCCCTAACGTACTCGACAGTGTTATCACCTCACATTGATTTACAGATTTGTGGTTGCTTACTTCCATAAACAAATGCCTTTCGCATCCGTATTCATCAAGTATGTTTATCTGAGAGTTCGTGAAATATTTCTCGTCAGCTCAGCCTACTCGTCCACCGCGTTTAGGAAAGCGCCAGGTTGCGGTTATCTCTCCTAACTCTTCTCGATTTTAGTGCACTGCTGCTGAATTTCTGACTCTAAGGAACATCGCACTTTGACTTTTGCCCGATGCCGAAGAAGTTATCGAATGAAGCACCGCTTACATTGCGCCGTATGCCTATCGTCATTACCCCTCGGAAACGAAAGTACAAAAACTATGTGTCACGTCGTCGAAATACGCAGTTGTTAGCTAGTTTGCGCAAATGTGTTTCGGATCCTTTACTGTACCGTAGCTTCAATCACTGGAAGGAGCTATGGCGTGATTTTTCTCCTAAGAATATGAAATCGCCGTCTGTTCATGAACCCACCAAATTGCTAGTCGAAAGTGACGTTTCTGCAAATATTTCAACTAATCAACCGTCATTGCCACCTACGGCTACTCCACCTCAACCGCCCTCGAATAAAAAGAGCACGTTGGAAGCTCAAGAAGCCAAGAAGGGCGAAAAAAGTTATGCGAGCATCCGCGCGGCACCCCTCACTCGCAGGAAAGATGTGAAGGAGGAAAATTCGCGCACCAATCTTCCACAGTGGAGCGCTACCTCTAAGGCACCTCCTACCACTCGTGTTGAAAACAGCGTGCAGAATCTTCTGTCCGTGCTGCCATTGATCAAGGGAGAGTCGGTAGACGCACCTTCCACGGATACCGAAGTTCCATCGAAACAGTCTGTACACGGTGGCGTCTGCGATAGGGCTAATGCTCCTGACCAGCTGCAAAAATCTGCTGCTCCGTCGCCTTCAAGCATTCCGACTGCTACTCCGGAGTCAGGTGAAGCAACGGGTGCCACGACAAGCAGTACATCGAAAGGCACCAAGCTTGGTGCGGGAGAGCGATCAGGCGATCGAAAAAATGCGGCACTGCTTCCATCCGCACCGAAGGCTCTAAGAAAAGCGTATGGTTCGAAGAGCGGGACTACGATATGTGCAGTTGGCTCTCCTTTGAACGTCCCTTCTACTAGCACTACTCTTGCCACTGAAGATCAGCGTGTCATCGAAAAGAAGCTTACGTTGCGCAAGAGGAAAGAACAAATCAAAGAGAACGCTGTTTTCCCCGTACCTTCTGAATGCACTGTAGACATCGGAGAGAAATCAAGTCAAGCCGATGAGCAGAAGGCTAAGAAAACGGTAAATGCCGTAGCAGCAGCATTTTCCACGCAGTCCATCGCCACTGAGGATGCCCCAAAAGCGGAGGAGAAAAAGGAAGTTGAGAAGGGAGCCACTCAACGTGCCCCTAAAGTTCCTGCATCAGCAACTGCTAGTCTTCTTGCTCAGCTACAGCTTCCACCAACGGTTTCTGCAAAAGTAGATAAGATTATTGCTTCTGGTCAGAAGGCAAGACCGCAACAGAAAGCTGGTGACCAGGTTTACTTGACAATTTTTCGTGCACTCAGAAAGCGTCGAATAATGCAGTTAATTTCAGCGCGCTCGCATGAAAGCCCATTTGGACCGCCAAGCTGCTGGTGTTTTACCTGATGATGACGACGGTCACCTCATCTTCAAAAAGAACGATGTCTTGAACGGAAGATGTTCGTCTTCGAATTTTTCATTGTTTTCTTATTTCAAATTCATCGCAGTTGCTTTTCGAATCATACCCATAGGTGTTCAGGGGAACTTCGCGAAGAACTAGGAGAAGGAACATTTGGAAGGGTGGTGAAGACTTACGACAAACAGGTGAGAATCATTGTGTTGGTCCTGGCTAGGCATATGTGGTCTTTGCAGAGGGACAAAATGCGAGCAGTGAAAATTGTTCGCAATGTGCACAAGTATCGTGACGCCGCATATTTGGAAATTAAGGTGCTGACAAAGCTGAAGCAACTTGATCCCAGTGGAGCCCAGTAAGTGCACTCTTGCTTGCCATTGTCACCATCAATCTTGCTGATGTGGTGGATAGTACTCACAGTAGATGTTTCCAAGCTCTGAGTATATTCTTTGTCTGATGAAGCGGAGCATTGATTACTGCGGTGCGTTGTGAACAAGTGGCGCAATCTCGACCGGACGAGGACGGATCGATTCCAGGCAGATCCGCTGTCGTTGTAATTCGAATAATGCGATTTCTTACCCGGCTCAGACCTCTGAAATGACTGCGTCAAAGCATATCTGTGATCTGCGGTAGCCGATATTTGGTCGAATTATCATGCGAATCGCCTTAATCTCTCATCCATAAACTTCAGACAGAAATTGTGGTGGGCGGATCAAGTGTTTGATACAACTTGACGTCAAAGAGAAGTCAATGTGAATGCATAAGTTTAAACTTTCTGGGAATTGGTACGCCATATGTTTGCATAGCCACGGTAGTGAATTCATACATTTACTGGCTGTAGCCCACACTAATGATATCGGGATAAAGGATTCAGGAACAAGTATGGCACAAGTTACTTTACTGTCAGGATATACGGCTTTCAAGCTACAAATTACCATTTTTGCCGAAAGAAATACCCATATTATTTGGCAAGTACACATCATACTTGTTATTAATGCGAGTTCGCTAATATCTAATATATGATCGTAGGTTATGGAGTAAATCTCTGGCATTAGTTGTTTTCCAGCTTTTTTTGCGCTTGGCATACCAGATAATGTCGTGGCTTAACCGGGTAATTCACATATGAAGTGAAGAAATGTTGATGAAGTAAAAGATTCTGTTTTTCCTTTTATGCCATGGACTCTAATATGCTCTTTATGATATGCATCCTCAGCAAATCTCTTTTTTCTTGAAACTATATCGTGCCAAATTCGTCTATAGCTAGCTTTGAAACAACAGCTTCAAACTTTCTACCTGCATGCAACGAGTAGTAGCTGTGTGCATGTTTGACGTTCTAACTAATGGTACTGGGTTCAACACGATCACTATATTCATGATATCCCCCATTTATGTTGTTCGGTTCTAGTGTGCATTCCTAGTTGACTTCACCTTTTATGCCTATAGTACATAGTGAAAGTGCCTTCTTGTGTACCTGTTCAATATTTTTGGCATATCTCGCATAAAAAACAAATTTGTGTCTGTTGTCAAGTCAAGGTTCCGTATCAACCCATTGTTAGAAGAATAATGGGGTAGAGCAAGGAATTCACCTCGTTTAGAATATGCAGTGCAGTGCTTGCGTGTGTGTCTGATTTTATCAGAATAGATGACTTTCCTGTTAATGTGCTTGCTAATGCAAACGCGTAAATCTTAATTATGAAGCTGTAATCATTACTGCACGCAGCTTTCTCTCTCTTTCTTTCTCTCTCGTCATGTCATGTTTCTTATCCTGCTGAAGAATTTGCTTTTCGTCCGCACCGATTGTGCAAAATGCACTTACATACTATAGTAGGTTTTTGAATGCACTGAACAGGCTTTGCATTTTGTCGTTATGTGTGGTGATGCGATATTTCTTGCCTACTTTCACACTTTGTGTACGTCAGATTTTCGCTTGTTTGTTCTTTGGAGATTTCTAAAATTGCTCTGTTATCCTGCTCAGGTTTACGCAACGTTAATTTGTACTACCGCATGTAACATCTTCCAAGCGATTGATATTGTTAAGGGATGGTACAGCTATATGAGGAGAGCTGCGTGAATTATGTTTTTGAAGCCGTTTGTCTGGAGTGGCTACTATAATGTCGATTTTTACAAAATAGTGTGACATCGCAGAAATTAGATCTTATTTCTCACTTTTTATCTTGATCTTCTCTGCTTCAGAACTTTCCTTCACACAAACAAGTGGAGCATCTGACTCGAGTAGCTTTTTCCACTGCAATGTATATCATCCAAGAGATCTTGATTGTAGATTACAAAGCGCCTTGTATGCGTTAACATTTTGGGCAAAGAGGCATTTTCTATTACCAAATTGCATTGTCAAAACTGTTAATCTAATTTTGCAGTAAATGCGAATTTGCGTCACGGTTGCATGCCTGAATGTTTGGAATATACTTCTTAGATTTCGTTTAGACTTCTTAGTTTTGATACTTTTTTGATCTTGGTTCCGTGTGTCAACCATTTGATGCCAAGTGAGCCTACACTGCCTGTAGCTTCGTGTAGTGGACCGTTTGACAAACTGGGAATCCAGATTTGAAATCAGCTTTGAAGACGCTTATCATAATGAACTTTGTTGGGAAAGGCGGTCCCAGGATTTACGTTCGGGGAGTGGGGACATAGAATTTTTCAAATAAAGTTGCGAGCCTTAGCCGTGCACTCTAAAACATTTTGTTGGGCAAAGAAATTTGGCCAATTTTTTTTATAATTCTCAGTTATATAACTATTATCAAGTCAACTCGCACATTTTCGTAACTGCTGGGACCTAGGAGCGATGCGCCTCCATCAAGTAAATCTTCTGCTGTGTTCCACTCTGCTCTCATCAGGCATACATAGCCAGACATGTTTCAAATCTCATTCGAGAAAACCATGTGATGAAATTCCTGCATGTATCGAGAACGTTACATGTATGTCAAGATGGACGATATTTGGAGATAAGCATACGGTACTTCTGTGGTTGTCACTATGCCGCGCATAAAGTCTTCCTTTTTGAAGCGATATGTTCATCACTGAACTGGAGATGGTGGCGAACAGTAAGATTCCAGGGCTCTAAATTTTTGCATACCATCATAGTGTAAATGAGAATTTGAAGAAGATTTGACCTACGCAACGCATGTGGCAATTATGGCGAAGGCGATCCAAGTGCAAAGCTGTCGTCTAATAAATAGTATATCGGTTCACCTTCAATCAACGCAGATTTTGGTGGAAAATTGTGGATGATATTTAAAAGAGTCACAGAATCATGGTTTGTTGACGTGGGAGTCAACAACAGGAATTCCCGCATGTTTCAGACAAATTCCTTACGTGATAAAGCTCACATAATAATGGTCAATAACCTTACCTAACATGAAGAATATATGTGTTTGTAAGCACATGCTCAAAACAAGAATTGTTGGGTATGTGAATGTAGCTCTCTATGCATCCGATTCCAGTAAAATCATTCAACTTGTGGAACATTTCGATTATCATGGACATTGCTGTCTTGTGTTTAAACTCTATGGCCTCAGCGTGTTCGATTTTCAGGTAAAATTTATACATACATTCTGACTTCAGAACTTAACGAAAGAATATTTTTTCTTGCAGAGGAAGTATAACTTTCGACCCTACCACATAGAGGATACGCGGCATATTATGTATCAGATCTGCTATGCTGTGAAGTTTTTACATGACAACAAGTTGACACATACAGATCTCAAACCAGAAAACGTATTATTTGTATGCGATGATTCTTACACCGAAAAAGTTGGAAACATGGTCAGTTCATGTACACCTTCATATCAAGTGGTTGTTATTTACGCGCTCCTTTGTGTTAGCTCACTAAATGAAGTTTTATAGACATTTCACCGGCCAAAAAATACCAACGTTCGACTGATTGATTTGGGTTCGGCAACGTTCAACAACGAACACCACTCCGCAATCATTTCCACTCGTCATTACCGAGCACCTGAAGTCATCTTGGGTGCGTTACGCGCGACACCTATGCTTCCTGTTTATTTTTCGAAATTTAGATCTCGGTTGGTGGCAGCCATGTGACACGTGGTCCCTCGGTTGCATTCTGTATGAACTCCATCGTGGCGCTACATTGTTTCGTACCCACAGCAATCGCGAGCATTTGGCGATGATGGAACGCGTTTGCGGCCATATTCCTCTACGAATGATTCGCAAGACAAGGTGAGCTCATTGAATATCTGAAGTGGCCATACAGAGTGTCCCAAAAAGGTGCGCACACTGTCTAATCGTTATCAACTTTCTTGCTTCAATGTCTTTCGCCGAGCTTGAGGTACCATTCTGTAGAGCG